CAGAGGTGGTATTCAGCTGGTTCGGACAGTTCACAAGAACCGGTAGCGGTGAACTGCTGGTGGGCCCTCCCACCTGTCTCAGCTCCAAAATGTCTTCTGTTGCCTTGTTTTTGATGCCGTGTGCATGCGTGCACACCGCATGCATGAGCAAAGTGCATGCGCGGAAGGCAGGTGCACGCTCAAAGTTGTGAACCGGTGGTAAACCTAAAGTGAATCCCACTGCTGATCTGTATGGCTGCTCCCACAAGATGTTCTCAACCAGAAGATGAATATTTTTATGGTTAGAGAAGTTAAATGGAGGGCCGCAGTCCCAAAGTGTAAACATGGGGTCTTACTTAAGACTAGACACCCAGCATCTCTTACAGCCTCCAAGAACTTTTCAAGGTGAAAAGGCAAAGTTGCAATGCACAAAGCAAATGCTCTTGTTTTGGGGGAGGGAAATAAAGGAGAAGAAAATGATGAATACATGGTTGACAGGACCTCTTACAGGGCTGTTTTTCCACCCACCCAGATCTCCTCAATATACCCCTTTTGTATCCCCTTTGTTGAAATTCATCTCCCTTCATAAGACTCTTATCTCACATTATTTGCCATGTGAAACTTACCATTTAAATCAAGGAAAATGACTGGAATGTGTGTCTCCATACCAGGCATAGGTGTCCTAAAAGAAAACAAAACCACGGAAAACACTGGCATATCAATGCAGGAGAACATTAATGCAGGACATGTTCCTGGTGATGTACAGCCATTGCATATTACATTCAGTACCCACGCAACTCTAGGACAGGGCAATGATAACCTTGGTGAGCGTAGCTCTAGCTTTATTTATTTTTTTCCTTGCAGATGTAAAGGACAATCAGCGGTGTTGTGTCATGGCAGATTTCTCAATAGTAAGCGGACAAATACATGTGTCTAGCTCAAGGAACTAGATTTTCTTATGTGCTTTAATTTATGAAGTTAACTAAGTGCTAAGATGCATGTCTGCCAGGGAAGGGAGATCAAATAACTAGGTCTTCTAGTTTTCATGGATACAGTAGGCAGAGAAAAGAAGGTTGACCAAGTGATTGACTGAAGCCCCCCAAAACAGGTCCGGCCTTCTATAGATCGAACCAGAAATAATGGTAAGATGTGCCACATTTTGACAATCATTTCTCCAAGATCCAAAACATAGCTAAACCAATTGTGGCAAGCATACACAATGTGGGGATATNTGTGTGTGTGTGTGTGTGTATGTATGTATGCACGTATGCATGTACGCACGCACACACGCACGCACACTATTCCCTACAATCCTTCAGGAGCATCTGGGCAGGGACGTCCATGGGGTAGGGAGGGGGCATGTTTCAATCCAGACATTGAGAAGATACAGTCAACAGCAGGATATGTCTAGGAGAGAGAGATCAAAGGCAGGAGTTCAATCTCCATAAAGAGGAGGGTTCTGCTGATGTGTCCTCAGCCATATGTTCACCAGAGTTTGGTCTGAAAGTGATCTGAAGTTATGCTTGAGTTATTCCCTAATATGCCAACAATAGATCTACTATTCACATGGTAAGGAATTCAACAACATATACTTCTCTAAATCAAAAATTCATATTTTTTTCCAATGAGATAATAAACCTGTATATCTGAGCTCATGTGATGGAATGGCCCTTCACAGAGCAACAATACAACACATTGCCCAGAAAACTTACATGTTAACCTACATTGCTAGGCTCTAACCTTTCTCTTTCACACGCTAGCTTTGGTATGCACTGACTCTTTTTGTTTGGAGCAGCAACCCTTTTCTTCTCCACCTGCATTTATTTAAAGAAGAAGAGTTCCCCTATCATTCTGGCTTTATGGACCAGCCCAGGGGAGGGAGGGAGGGAGTAATGATTCTGTATAAGTGGTAAGCAAGCACACCCTTGCATGCACAGCTCCATTTGCATGAGTGGCCTGCCTCTTGTGTAAATGGAGTGACCACACACCCGCGCTTACCTGCTGCTTGCGCAGCTCCATTTGTGCAAGCAGCAGGCATATGCGCCCATTAGTCGTGCAAATGGAGCACACTTACTCACACTTGCCCGCTGCTCATGCAAATGGGGAATCCGTGCATGCGCTCACCAGTCACTTCCGCAGCCCAGTTCCAAAGGGCTCGAGGCCCAATATTGGGCCACAGTCTGGGGGTTGGGAACTCCTAATTTAAAGCATAACTAGGAACCAGTTGACCATCTCGGTAAGAAATAACAACACACAATATTTGCCCCTTTCCCTTTAACTTTCAGATGATAAATTAAAATTTCAAACTCACTCCAAAATACATTAGTAGAGTGGGAGCCATTAAGAACGAAAGGATCATGCCATGATTTCCCAGGGCTGTTGTAACATCTCCCATTAGCAGCAAGAGAGCCTTCCAGCTCCACCGCTTGGGTACTGCCTTACCTCACTCTCGTGGTGCTTTACAATCTGTAACTCAAAGAATTCATCTTCATCTTCAGCAATAAGGGTAGCATCCCAGCCACCAGCTTCTGGCTCATCAAGATTATCCTGAGAGCTGAAGTCATCTGCTGTAAAAGTGGGAAGAGAAACAGAGCTCCCATAAGCAACTGCGGTGCACAATATAACATTTTTAGGAAGGTTTGGACACCATGGCTGTGCAAGTGGTTTGGGTTCAGTTTTCAAAAGTTGCTTCAAAGCACATAGAACCTCAAGTGTACTACAGGTAGTCCTTGACATAAGACCATAGTGATTATGTATCTTGACAAACTTATTTTATATTTTTTGTGTGGATGTTAAACTAAGTGAACCAATGGCTCACTATAGGAATGATTTTGCTAAAAACCGGAAGTGCTGTCCCAAAGGTGATTTTTTTCAAGAGGCAACAGGACTTTCTGATTTTTCTTTGAAGACGTTTCACTTCTCACCCAAGAAGCTTCTTTAGCTATGACTGCATGGTGGGGAATGGAAGGACCATCCAGTCAGAGCTGAAGAAGNGGGATTGCAGTTGTTGAGCGAAACATTTCATTTAATGATCAACTTTGCTCAACGGTCGAGATTCTGGACTCAATTGTGGTCGTAAATTGAGATTATATTACCTATATAATCTAAATTAATACCACATAGCACAATTAATTGATATTATAGTTTTGATTTTTAAGAGTGATTTGGGTATAAAACCATAGACAGAAAATAAAGTATGTCTTTTAACAACCACAACCCAACCACATCTTAGTTAAATCAAACACCTCAGTTTAGAACTCCTAATAGTTAAAAAATAGGCAAACCAGTTTTCAAAATCAATTTTCCCAAATAGTTAAATTTCTATTTTTCTGAAAAAGTGCAACCTCTTAAACACAATAAAGAAATTCACTAACAAACCGAATGCTTACTTTGTAAGAAGCAAGGCTGTATGATGGATTTAGATCTTGGCGGCTACTCGATAGCTGAAAGAGTAACAATAAAATTGTGACTTTCAAACGGAGCCTTCAGTCTACAAGACTTACAGCAAACATAGAGGCCAACAGCACACCAGAAGGTGAAGATACTTCCTATGCCTTCAGTAGGACCCCAATAGGACGTTATCAGATGAAGAAATGCTCCTTATCTTCCTACAAACTCAATGTGGAGCCCCTCTTTTCTTCTCTCCACCCTCTCCCAACTATGTCTTGGGAGGATTTCAGCTCTAGTATTATAGACTCACTCGATTGACATTTGGTGAACTGAGACTCCTCCGATAAAGTTTTCCCTTGCCTGTTAGATGTTCCTTCACAGCAATCTCCTGCAAGGAAGAAAACAGATCATTCTTTCTCGAATATTCATTTACAAACAGAAGCAAATTTGAACTGAATCAAGGGCAAGGAATGTTAGGCACTTCTGTAGGGACCGTTGAGAACATTTATGCAAGTGACTGTTACTGGCTTGGAATTGATGGAAAATGTAGCCCAATATATCTCACTGGAGACAGCTAAGATATGCACGTAATCAGAGACTGGAACAAACTGTCATATAAATGCAGTGTAATACTGCATGCAGACCTCCTTGGATAACAACATGAATCCAACTTTGGCATAAGACAACACTGAACCCACCCAAAAAACAATACACCAATTTTTCCAAAAGTAATGATCTAGTCATTATGTTATAATGATAATATGATAATATAGTAAGAAATGATTGCTTTCCCTTCCCTACAAATACTGAAAAGACCCCTCTGCTAGTGGTTAACCCACTTCTGGGTTGAAAGTATTAGAACACAGTGGGGCTGACCGCTATCTCCCATGGAAGGGGAGAATGCTCCTGTTTCAAAGCTATTACTCTAAAAATTTAAAAACAGGAAAAAAAACACAATGTGAAAGAGCCATTCCTTCTCAATGTTAGTGCTTTTTCAACAAAATTCTACCCATTTACTAGTTTAATTGTTATTTATTATTGATTAGACTAATGAAAATATTACTTATAAACAGTCTTTTTTTAGATTACCCTTTGTTTGAATACAGTGAAGCTTTATGTATAAACACGATCGCTGCCCCCTATTCTATTTTCTTTGGAAATTGCTCCATTGTTGTTCTGTTTTCTTGCTGTTGTTCTATTTTCTTTGGAAGTGAGATATCAAATAAAATAAAATAAAATAAATTGGTTCATCAACATAGGAGACCACTTTAGCTTTTAGGCCTTTAACAACAAAGTTAGAGTAGATGTTACAGTTCCACATCTTAAAGCTGGTGTATAGCTACGGAAGCCTTCAGGATCATACATTTGAAATTCAACACAATGTATTACTACTTTTTAAAAATAACATAAGTCCTAAATCACAGGGGTTATAGCTAGAGTTGGAACATAGAGAGCCAACACCTTCTTTTTAGGGCTCTTGGGCAGTGGTGGGTTGCTACCGGTTCGGACCAGTTCAGCCAAACCGGTAGTAGCTTGGTGGCTTGGGTCGCTGGAATTGGCAGCAACCCAGACCTGGCACACCCCTGAACTGGTTCTCCCGTTGGTGGCACCATCTTGTTTTTTGCTTCTGCGCATGCACAGAGCAATTTTAGTTGTACTGCACATGCATGCGCAACGCATTCCTGAGCGAACCGGCAATAGTCTCTGCCGGAACCCACCCTTGCCCTTGGGGCTAATCTTCAATGCCAGTATCTGACATGTTTCCTGGGATTTTTAGATGGGAAACAGATGAAACCTNCATTTGACTTTTAGAAATGAATTTGAAGTGTTCCTCGGTCCTAATTATATAAGTATGTGTGAGTATGTTTCCCAAGTGTTCTGTATCCAACACAAACACATGACATCTCTCAGTGAGTAGTGGATTTAAACCTGGATCAGGAACCAACCGAATCAGCCAATGTTGTGAATACATCTTCCTATGTGGAGGTAAGGGTATCATACAGGGTGAGTTGGTAGGTATAATATAAGCATATATAGGCTTTAAGATGTATGGTGATCATACTAAATGATTCATAAGTAGTAAATGCAATTAGTGTAACATATCTAGATTCAACAAGTAACCCTATAACTATGGCTTCTAAATACCTCTTCTAAAGTTCAAGAACTTCCAAGACTCAACTCAATTCTGCTCTGTTTATTAATTGCCTTTATGTAATTCATTCCAAATATATAATCTGCAACATTTTGAGACTATGGTTAGAAAGAGGGAATGGGATATTTGAGCAATCAAATGTTTGACTTCCAGTGCTGTCTTCTTGTCTTCAAAAAGAGCATATATAAACACAAAACACCTAATGTAAATAAGATATCTGTGTCTCATTATCTCCTGCTCCTCCCTTGAGGGTGAACATTTTCTTCATAGGATTTCAGAGAAACAAGGCTCTGGCCCAATGAGGCTGCTACTATCGAGGAATGAAACACCAGTTTTCAGTCTTCCTTCCTTTCTCCCATACAAATGATTATTTTTTCATCCTCCCAAATCAACCTCTACTAGGAAAGAACAACCACTGGTACCCAGTATAAACAGCGTGGAGATAGTGATTCCCGACTATTTCCTTTATGCGAATTGCTTTACATGTATTCGACTTCTTGATGGTGCCCGGGGAACTTCAAAATTAAATATATTTTTAAAATTAAAATGATCGATATTTTGAAAGATATCCAACTTTCAGGAGAAAGTTATTCTGCTATCTGAAATATCGTGAAATTTCAAGTGAGGACGCTAATCTCTTGCAAAAAATTAAATGAAAATGCCAGCATTGTACGAGTTTTCAACCAAAAACACTGGTTGAACCAAAAATATCTTTCAAATTTGGGTAGCACTTGAGAAAGTGTAGGGGTATGGAAACTCGGGACCACCTGCAGTATCTTCAAGGACCACCAGTGGTCCTCCAAGCACAGGCAGAAAACNTAAATAAATACTTATAGTCTGAATTTCCTCCAATATGACTTTTTAAACTATCCAACCTGGCCACAAGAAACTCTACAGCTTTTCTGGTGGGAGGATTCCACAGCGCAACCACGTTCTGGGGGCAGAAGAGCATCTCTTAGTTTACCTTGAACCTCCAATCAAAGAGCTTCCTTGGGAAAGTCTTGTACCACTGTAGTCACTTTTGTGGTTATTACTATTATCACTCAAGTGGGGAGATGGCTCGCTTCGCCAAGAGTGCCACTTGTTCAAGCGATTTGGAGTTTTTCCCCCAAGTAATCTGATTACAGCAAGAAAATAAAACTCTAGGGCAGTGTTTCTCAACCTTGGCGACTTCAAGTCCTGTGGACTTCGACTCCCAGAATTCCTCAGCCAAAGTCATCAAGGTTGAGAAACACTGCCCTAGGGTGGGGACATGGTCCAAATGAGTTGTGACCAGCCCTCTAAGTCTTGGAGAGGCACTCTGGTGTTTAATGGATAATTGAGGACTCTGGAGGGATGGGAACGGCGCAATGTCATCACTAGGGAGATTGGCACTTGATTTAGAACAGGTCCCACTTGGAGGGCTTTTAAAAAGAAGTAAGAAAATGGAATCCTGTGCAAAATTGTGCTCTCTGCTGTTATCTGTGATTGCTGTCAGACTTTGGTAGGATAATCTCAAGTGTGGGGGTGGGCTTTGGAGGATGGGGAAAAAAGGACACAGAGGGCTGTAGATTGCCCACCCCTTGATCTAAATGAAAACTATTGGGAAAGTATAGAGGATAGACAAGTTATTGGAATTGCTCCTTTGGTCTATCCCTGTAGCTTTGGATAGAAGGAAAATTACATGGCTTTGTTCCTTTCTCTTACAAAGGCTCATTACACAGATATCCAGCTACCTCACATATATAGCACTCTGGTTATTTGATTCCAGCACAGGATTGCACAAAACACTTGTCAGATTGAGGCAACACGTAATCACACCCTTCACACATATTCAGAAGCTTCAAACTGCTTCCTTTTAATCGTGTTCACCCTCCCACCCAACTCTCTGGAGCCTGTTGCTAGAAATGATGACAAATAAATGATCTAGGCAGACACTAACTATCCTGACAAAGTTCACCCCGGGCCACTTGGGAATAAGTGATTTAATTATATTTCTGTGTCAGGTGCCAGGAGTGGATATTTAACGATGCTAAGCATCCAATTACTGAAAATATAATTAATTCTAGTCAATTAATCAGATAGATAGATAGATAGATAGATAGATAGATAGATAGATAGATAGATAGATAGATAGATAGATAG